TATAACTGAGAAGAAAAGAAAACCCTTGGGTGAAAACAGCAACAACGGACGATTTATCCTTCGACGTTTCGGTCGGAGTCCGGCCTTCGTCAGGATATATATATATATATATATTGTGAACGAAGAGGGGAAAAGGTGATTATTGAATTTATTGCATTAAAGTTAGGGAAAGGGAAAGGGAAAGAGAGCTACACTTATGCGGTTTGTGCGAGTGAGTTATACGCCCAGGGGGACATTATGTGGGTGGCTAATGTTTGCGATAAGTCGGCTAATTAACTAAAATTCTTTAATCAACTTTTTAATTAGGGAAGATAGACAAATGGTTCCAATTCGAAACTTGCTGAGCGTTATCGAAAACCACTAAATCAGTCATTTTCACCCAGCGACGTCACCAATTCACTATCTATAGGGTGGTTCACGTCACCAGGCTCGATTTAAAATAGACCGTAAAAATCGACGCCTGCACGGAGCCATCTAAACTTTTCGTCAAAGGTGTATTTCACAGGTCGGTTTTTTCTTGTAAAATTACAAAGCGTAGTTCTCTTTTAGTAAAACATAGGGCCAAGAAACTTGCCAGAGTCTACGGCGGGCTGCGACCCAGACGACCAAGTCCAGTAGCGGGCTGTGTTTGCCGTTTGTATTGATAGATGGCGTCGGGAGCAGCGTCTGAAGGTGCAGCCGACCAGCGAAAGATAGCAGACGCCACACAGACGAAATCCGTTGGCAACAAAAGCGCCGCCGCAAGCAGACGCGTTTTTTACTTTAAGATTAGCTTGTATTGTTCGCATTTATTTTTGAGCTGAAGGTTTTTTTCAAAAAAATTATATTAATTTTAACAAACCACGGTGGTCGCGAGCCGTCGATGATGATGATGAGGATGCGGCTGTTCCCTTTAGATCGGGCTGGCTCGGACAAGATTCATGCCCAAGCCTGGGGGCATTTGCGTGTTATTGCCCCATAAGGTAGATCTTTCTCCACCAGTCCTCTAATCGTCTCTTTGTTGCCTCGACAGACAACCTATGTGGGGCGTAGTCTCGTTCGAGGCAGGCCTGTCCGCTGGTGCGGCTGACCTAACCTCAATGGTTTGGTGTCCATCTCTAGTAACCGTGAAGCCCAATACTTCGGCCAGCTCCAGAGGGCTTTGAAGGTCTCGGTCGTTGTCTCGTGACTGGGATGACCGGAGTCCTGCACATTCAGTACAATGTGTGCTACTGTTTCGTCGTGGGCCCCGCACACCCGGCACACGCTCGTAGTCAAGGTAGAATCGAAGTGACGTCTGTAAGACAGAGTCCTTAGTGCCCCGGCTCGTGCCTCAAATGGCAAACGACTACCCAGGCTACTATCGTATAGCCTAGTCTCCGAGCCGATGGTCCTCTTGTCTGCAACATACACATCGAGCGTAGTCTTCAATTGGGCATCTTTGAGCCACTGCTGTGTTTCCTGGTCGCCAACCTTTTTCCGGACCTCTCTCTCCCATTCCCTGGCCGACGACGCTTGGACAGGGTCGGAAAAAACCGAACTTGATTTCGAGCTGGTATAGGCGTTTCTGCCAGCGGGTCTGCAGCCCAGTCAGTTGAGTGTGCCTGAACAGCCTTTTGGCCTACCGGCAGGAGTCCATATGTCGGAGACGTCCGTCGTAGGCTATTTTGCTGGTAGCTTCACGGGCTTCAAAAGAGGACCATCCCAAATCACCCTGGACAGCCTCATTTGGTACTGTACCATGACAGCCTAGCGCTTGGCGCCCGACCTCCCTCTGCCTACGTTCTATGTGAGCTCGGATATCTCCAGGGACACACATCACAGCGTTAGCAAAAGTCAATCCTGGTACCACCACCGCCTTTCACAGCTCCCGGGTCACAACGAATCTATTGCAACTCCAGAGATTCCGTCTGCGCAGAATGCTGGTTCCTCTGATGGCTGCTTGGCGGAGATGGGCGTGATGCTTTTGCAAGTAGTCCTCTGTATTTGTGAGTGTAATGCCCAAGTACCTGTACGAGTTCATTACAGGTACACAGCCCACCCCGAGTCGAAGACTGCCAAATGTTGTATCTTGTGGACCTGCAAACAGCACCGCTGCTGACTTGTTAGTGTTAAATTTCAATCCAAGTTCTGTTGCTACCTCGGTACAGATTTCTAGAGTTTCTGCATGTCGCAGACTGATGCCGCGGTCAGTACTACATCGTCTGCGTAGGTAAGTTCGGGTAGAACCCATTTGACGGTCAGACCATCTTCTAAGTGAGCCAAAGAGAAGCCCAGTCCAGATCGGATCAGTTGCATTTCGAGTCCGGTTACGTAAAGCATGTACAATAGTGGAGAGAGTGGGCACCCCTGGCGTAAGCCTCCCTCACAGTTAGCCTCACCTAACTTTGTCCTAACCGTATTGCCACTGTATAGGCGGTGGATGAGGGTGACCCACTCTGGTCGCATGTCAAGATGTTGTAGACGACATATCAACTGGGCATGTGGCACACTATCGTAGGCCTTGGCGACGTCCAGAAAACAACATATTAGGGTCCTCTGCTCCCTGCGGGCAACCTCAATATATTGTGTTAGCGTAAACAGATGATCTTCCGACCGGCGACCTCGTCGAAAACCTCCTTGAAGTTCCGTAAGCAAGCCTTCTTCCTCTGCCCATGCAGTCATGTGCTCCTTCAGAATATGTACGAAAGTTCTATATATCGTGCTGGTCACAGTCAGTGGTCTGTTGTTGCAGTGGTAACGAGGTAGCGCCATCTATCAATAGGAACGCCAAACACACCCCGCTACTGGACCCCTGTCGTCTGCGTTGCTGCCCGCCGTTGACCCTCGCAAGTTTTTTGGCCCTCTGGTTTACAGAAAGGGACCTACGCTTTGTAAGTTTACAAGAAAAAACCGACCTGTGAGTTACACTTTTGACGAAAAGTTGAGATTGCTACGTACAGGCGCCGATTTTTACGGTCCATTTTAGATCGAGCCTGGTGACTTGGACCACCCTATATATGGCCGTGAACGACTTGTGTAAAAATAAACCATCACGAGAACTCCGTCTTTTTAACAAGTTGCGCAAGGAAAGTTCTCTAAGAATGTACTCATAGTCGTAATAACATCTCCCAAAATACCTGTCATAAACAATTCTAACAAATCGTTTTTGAACCCTTTCAATTCGCTCTGCGTCAGCTGTAGACCACGAATTCCATACAGCACTGCAAAACTCAAATCTAACTCGTACACTCTAAGAAATGCCAGCACTTATACTTACCCACAAAACACTCGACGAGCCTATCTCTGCGATCTACGAAATCAGTTCAGCAAATGATGAGGCCGAACATCTGTTTAGACCTCAAAATGAAGTCTGCGCTGTGGTATTACGCAATGGAAGCATGACGTTTTCTTTGCATTGCGTAATGCCACAGCGCAGACTTCAATTGTTGGTCTAAACGGATGTTCCGCCTCATCATTCGCTCAGCTGATCTCGTAGATCGCAGAGATTGGCTCTTTGAGTGTTTTGCGGGTAAGTAGACGTGCAGGCAATTCTTAGAGTGTACCAGGGAGGTAAAACAAGCGAACGACACATCAAAATGCATGTGAAATCATATGTCGAGTCTTTTAGTGCAGTTTGCGCTTTGGGCAAGCGGTTTTTATGGCATCTTGAACCTCATAATGGGGCACCAACGGTTACGAATTAAAAGGCAAGTGTCACGAAAACAAACGCGTCCCTGAATTTCTTGCTGTGTTGATGTCTATTTGCGTTTCTAAAGAAGTTTTAGAGAGCAGCTCTTAGGCGCCCGGTTCCGGGTTGAGCGGCGTCGGCGTAACCGCGCGCTGCATCATGGGACGTTTCCCATAATGACGTCACGTGTGACGTCACAAGGGTACAATTGGGTCACGAGGATACCCACGTGACGTCACATGGGACGTGTCATGTGACGTCACGAGGGTAAAATATTCCAGAAAAATTTGGAGGGAACATTTTCTGCTAAATTTAGCGGGAAAATTTAGCGAACAATTTTCTCGCCAAATTTAGCCGGAAACTTTGCCTTTGTGACGTCACACGTAACGTGTGACGTCAGAAATGTAAAATTTCCCGCTATTGACGTCACATGACGTCACGCTAAATTTAGCGAAAATTTTTAGCGGAAATTTTTTCGCTTAATTTCGCAAGAAATTTAGCAAAACTTTTCCCGCTAGATGGGAGGGGAGCAGGAGAGGAGGAGGGGAGGGTACGGAGGGGGAGAAGGCATACCCTCCGCTCCTCCTCCTCAAGAGTTGCGACCTAATTCGGTATTACAAAGAATCGTAAAAGTCTTTCATTTTTAACTATTTTCTGATGCTTTTGCACAGCCCCATACGTTGTATCTAGCGCTGTGATAGTTTTCTTTATGTTGTCGCGAATAATCAGTTTTATCTGCTCTTCCATCATTTCGCTTAAGCATCGATTTGTAACACCGAAAACTGGCTAAAGCACGGGGTGGTCCAAAAGGTCTTAGCCGCCTGGTTATAGGAAACCATAAATTAAGATTCCGAGCACCTAGCCGCCAAAACATGAAGCTATAAAAAATTGTCTGAGAAAGTTTTGGAGGGGTTCCCACACAAGGCGAGGGTAGCCTTCTTTGAAATAATGGGAATTTGTCTTCTCTACATAGATGGAATTTGGCCAGTGAGAACCTACTGTTCACCGGGTATATTCAACTTGAGGCGCGCAGTAATGATACCACGGAACCATGCCGGTACAACCTCTGTCTACGTGGAAGTCTCTAGGGGTAGAGCTCAAACTCGCGATGTTGAGACTACCTTGTGATCAGTCTCTCTCGACGTTTGGTATCGGGTTCTAAGATGCTACGTCTCCACCAGCTGACCTGCCTAGTTACCGCAACTTCCTGTGCTCCGGGCTTCACATTATTCTCGTAGATCGAGATTGCCTCTCAGATTGTCCTGTTGAGAAGTAGACACTAAGGTAGAGCCTTTTCTGGAAAGCCTCCCGTGCCACTTTTTTTCTAACCAAAGTGCCGCACGCGTTACAGACGGTGTCTGACGGCGGGGCCTTCAGTCAGACGTCGGAGCTGAGGACCGAGCAGGCGGAGCGGAGCGAGTCGACAGACAAGGACATCATGGCATCGCATATGTGCGAGCTCCTGCGCGTGGCGCTGAGCAGCCTCCGAGGAGGCCAGGCGCTGCAGTTCGCCTCGCTCCTGCTCGTGAACAAGCTGGTCGATCTGAGCGTGGCCCGGCGTCTGGCGCTGCGGCCCGTCACTCGACACCCACCCGGGAGCTGCCTGGCCCACAAGCGGGCCAACCTCTGCCACCAGCCGGTCAAGGAGAACCACGCATTCCAGCCGCTTCCCTCGGTCAGTGCTCTCGGACCACTCTCGCTTTGCTCGTGACTCCAATTTGGGCGCCAGTGGCGACGCCCAGTGACCGTGTAGGTAACTGTAGTCTCTGGCAGCTGAAGAAAGGCAGAACTTGGTCGCGATTCTTGCTTCCTGCCTTCTTATCAGCGCTTCTCACTGGCCAAGGAGCGACATGTTCGGCGCTCACCATACCCGGCGTTCCTTGCACTCTTAAAAAAAATATATATATATTGTAGTACTCTCCTTAAGGGGGTAACCGACTTGCACACAGGGCAACCCCTTTTGGAGGTAAAGTTGCTCCCTGCAATGAGCGTGCAAACTTACCCCCTGGGTTATGGTGCAACATTGCCTCCTTTTGGGGAAAACTTTAGTTCCTTTTAAAGTTAAAACTGCATCGTTTTAAGGTCTGCTTTTACCTCCTTTTGGAGGCAACAGTGCCTGCTACAGGGGGCTGGTTTTAGCTTCCTATAGAGGGAACAGTTACCCCATTTTGGGGGCAATAGTACACTCCCCTAGTTTGTACTTTTACCCCCTATGGAGGGAACTATTATCCTATTTAGGGTTAACTGTACACGATGGAAAGAACAGCTCAGAAAAAGCGGACTGCGAAGATCAAACACGGCAGGACAGTGCTGTCTTGTCGGGTTTGTTCTTCTTCGTAGTCCGCGCTTTCTGAGCGGTTTTCCCCGTCATGTATAACGCCAACTAACTGGCCCAGTTCACCACCTTATTAAAGGTTAAGTGTACAATTTATGAGAACACTTTTACCCCCTAAAGGAAGTATACTATGGCTCTTTGTGGGTGTGATAATACATACTTCAAGGGTGGGTCTTATAACAGATGAAGATGACACTAGTTCTGAAAGAAAATGGCAATGTTTTATTGTGTCTGTCACAAACAGAAGGGCATAAAATCAATGGCATAACTAGACATCTCATAAAAATTTTAAGATGAAAACACTAAGCGCAATAAAGGCACTTGGAACAACACTTTTGGGGCTCTAGTTCGCGAGTACGAAGATAGCACGCACGCTGCCCTTCCCGTTGCTTAATTAACTCGGGAATTATTCCAGCTATACATGTTTAAAAAAAAAAGTTATAAGGCAGCTTTTTCGTTAGTAATGGTTTGTATGGTGGCAGTCTGAAAAAAAAAAGCTCGTATTTTAATGGTGATAATTTTTGAAGGTGAGAATCTCGAAGTCGTAGGTTTATCTATGAGCGTTCCTCCTGCTGAGATAGAGTTCGTGCAGCCGACATCCGTCCTTGAGCCAAGAAAAACTGGGAAGCAAGAATTAAAAGGAAACACAAGGCAAATGAAAACAAAATAGTATAAACTATATGTCATACTTTATAAGAGCAGAGCTACGCGTCGAGCGCAAATGAATCGGCGACATGGGATCATTATGGCGCATGCCATTTCTAGCGCTCGAGACATGGGAACAGGTGCCTGCGGGCCGCGTGTTTGAGACCCTTGCCTTACGAGATCACCGTTCAATGAACCAGTATTCTTTTATCTGTCAGGCTAGACGCGGCGACAGCGCCTTAAACTTTCAAATCTAGAGGAATAGTCGGCACCTGAAGTCAAGAAAACATTTATAGTCCTTTGCAGAACAGAGCAGGGGGTTATATATGATCAGAGGCAAAACGTTGAAGACGAAACTTGGTCTTGACCTTCCTTGTAATTAGTAAAGAAATATATCGGGTTGTAGTAGTATCGCTACTAGGCATATACCCGAAAAATGTATTTTGATACAAAACTACAAAATACAGTTCAAAAATTGTATCGCGATATATAATGCAAACACGTTCTGTCTTTCTAAATTACTATCCTGATACTGCCTAACCCTGGGCCCCACTAGTGCGAGTGTCTTTGTGTAAAGTGAGAAGCATTCATAATCAAAATCGTTGCACGCCCCTTTAAAAACATCTTATTGGTTCATTTATACAATACATTCTCTTTCTACACGATCTGGAAGCCTTTGAAATGTCCGTATGACGCTAAATGTATAGATTGATGGTTAACATTTGATGCTGCCGCGATATCTATATTATTCAAAAGTTATGAACTGAAGGTAGATCTGCCTTAAAAGTTTTAATTTGATTATTTTTATATATTAAAGACAATAATATCAGGGAGAACGTAAGGGCAATTTAATTAACTTAATTGTGCAGAGAAAAAACTTCTACTTTTTTGCCTGTATTTTTTTTTGTATTTTTTTTATGTGACACTGAACATGTGCCTGTTTGAATGGCCTTGACTTGTTTTATCTACTCCCGGAAGTACGCTTAATTTAAGTCTGTTATTTGACTACCAGTGTAAGCGTAGCTGGCCCGAGGGATTGAGGGTACGCCGTAAGTTATGAAGAAGAAAAAAATATCCCATGGGTTATTGAGGTGCAATCTACGTGAAAGGTCAGAGTTTTTATTGACAGGTCGATCTTTAGTTGTATTTTACCCAAGAGCTAAAACAAAATAGACAACTACAATATGCAAAGTATTGTTCTCTGGAATGTAAAAAATGCGTAGGAACTTTACCAGTAGGGACAGTCGATGTTGTACGAAAAATCTTACTTTCTTCAAGACTCAAACTATCATCAAAAAAAAAAAAAAAAAACGCTTCAGTAGGTTGTTTTATCAAATCATGGGCGTTTTTTTTTTTTGTGTGTTTTTTTTTTTGGGGGGGGGGGGGGAGGGGGCACCATTTTTATTTCTCTTGACATTAATTTTCTATTTTATAAGCGATTCAATCTGCCTTAGTGTTTCCATTTTTAAAAATACTCCAGGTGAAAAAAAAAACCCTGAGTGGTGCCAAACGAGATTAGGGCGTGCATGTGTTCACACTGGGGAATTACGAAAACAGACTGCGTTAGAATAATGAGTACCATTTAGATATTCTATTTTGCCCCCCCCCCCCCAATAAAATCTCTGACATAAAACAAGTATTACGAATTTCGGGTCACTAGCACAAAAATATGCTATCAAATGAACTAAAGTCATGGCAGATGTTCAGTGCTGAGTAGGGTCTTGGGCTCTCCCAAGCGCCCCGCAACCTGCAAGCACCCATTTCAGCCAGCCGCCGAGAACAAACTGCGCCCCCCCCCCCCCCAGGAAAAAAAAAAAAAGCTTTAGCATAAAACAACTATTACAAATTTCGGATCAACAAAAATATGCTATCAAATGAACTAAAGTCATGGCAGATGTTCAGTGCTGAGTAGGGTCTTGGGCTCTCCCAAGCGCCCCGCAACCTGCAAGCACCCGTTTCAGCCAGCCGCCGAGAACAAACTGCGCCCCCCCCCCCCACCCAGAAAAAAAAAAAAAGCTTTAGCATAAAACAACTATTACAAATTTCGGATCAACAAAAATGTGCTATCAAATGAACTAAAGTCATGGCAGATGTTCAGTGCTGAGTAGGGTCTTGGGCTCTCCCAAGCGCCCCGCAACCTGCAAGCACCCGTTTCAGCCAGCCGCCGAGAACAAACTGCGCCCCCCCCCCCAGAAAAAAAAAAAAAAAAGCTTTAGCATAAAACAACTATTACAAATTTCGGATCAACAAAAATATGCTATCAAATGAACTAAAGTCATGGCAGATGTTCAGTGCTGAGTAGGGTCTTGGGCTCTCCCAAGCGCCCCGCAACCTGCAAGCACCCGTTTCAGCCAGCCGCCGAGAACAAACTGCGCCCCCCCCCCCCCCCAGAAAAAAAAAAAAAAAGCTTTAGCATAAAACAACTATTACAAATTTCGGATCAACAAAAATATGCTATCAAATGAACTAAAGTCATGGCAGATGTTCAGTGCTGAGTAGGGTCTTGGGCTCTCCCAAGCGCCCCGCAACCTGCAAGCACCCGTTTCAGCCAGCCGCCGAGAACAAACTGCGCCCCCCCCCCCCCAGAAAAAAAAAAAAAGCTTTAGCATAAAACAACTATTACAAATTTCGGATCAACAAAAATATGCTATCAAATGAACTAAAGTCATGGCAGATGTTCAGTGCTGAGTAGGGTCTTGGGCTCTCCCAAGCGCCCCGCAACCTGCAAGCACCCGTTTCAGCCAGCCGCCGAGAACAAACTGCGCCCCCCCCCCCCCAGAAAAAAAAAAAAAAGCTTTAGCATAAAACAACTATTACAAATTTCGGATCAACAAAAATATGCTATCAAATGAACTAAAGTCATGGCAGATGTTCAGTGCTGAGTAGGGTCTTGGGCTCTCCCAAGCGCCCCGCAACCTGCAAGCACCCATTTCAGCCAGCCGCCGAGAACAAACTGCGCCCCCCCCCCCCCCCCAGAAAAAAAAAAAAAAAGCTTTAGCATAAAACAACTATTACAAATTTCGGATCAACAAAAATATGCTATCAAATGAACTAAAGTCATGGCAGATGTTCAGTGCTGAGAAGGGTCTTGGGCTCTCCCAAGCGCCCCGCAACCTGCAAGCACCCATTTCAGCCAGCCGCCGAGAACAAACTGCGCCCCCCCCCCCCCAGAAAAAAAAAAAAAAGCTTTAGCATAAAACAACTATTACAAATTTCGGATCAACAAAAATATGCTATCAAATGAACTAAAGTCATGGCAGATGTTCAGTGCTGAGTAGGGTCTTGGGCTCTCCCAAGCGCCCCGCAACCTGCAAGCACCCGTTTCAGCCAGCCGCCGAGAACAAACTGCGCCCCCCCCCCCCCAGAAAAAAAAAAAAAAAGCTTTAGCATAAAACAACTATTACAAATTTCGGATCAACAAAAATATGCTATCAAATGAACTAAAGTCATGGCAGATGTTCAGTGCTGAGTAGGGTCTTGGGCTCTCCCAAGCGCCCCGCAACCTGCAAGCACCCGTTTCAGCCAGCCGCCGAGAACAAACTGCGCCCCCCCCCCCCCCCCAGAAAAAAAAAAAAGCTTTAGCATAAAACAACTATTACAAATTTCGGATCAACAAAAATATGCTATCAAATGAACTAAAGTCATGGCAGATGTTCAGTGCTGAGTAGGGTCTTGGGCTCTCCCAAGCGCCCCGC